ATTCGAGCGCGTGGCAAGATGTGACCGCCCGGCGATCGATATTGCTATGCGCACATCTCGCCACGCGCTCGAATTGGGCGGTAGGCCGGCCTAAGATAACGATTTTTAATAATTAATTACTCGTTAAGTATTACGAAAATTGCAAAATGGTACAGGACTTTTCCATTCATCTCGATCCGTTCTACCTTCTCAAAAATTTTGTCGGATATGGAAAGACTCACCCTGTATATTATATTTTTGCATTCAACATTTGTGTGCTGTATGGGATAAGATCCAAGGGGTAAACCACTGAGGGCACTGCGGGGTGTGCACATCTACATCTGTAGATTTGCGGCATTGGTGGGTTTTATTTGACCTTGCTGGGGTGTTGTAAGGAATCTATAAAGATAAAACAGAAGATAATAAGCCCACTGGGCATTATTTTATCTTATTATCGTATTACCGTTGAATTTCAACGCACCAGATGGGCGTACGTGATTTTGGTCAGCGGTTTACCCCTCGATAAGATCCGACCATGAATATCCAGCCGTAAAGTTGCGAGGAGCGGCATTCCGATCATCGCGGGCTATGAGGAATGCCACGCGTATCCTGCAACCGTAGATAAGTTTCCCCCAATGTGGAACGTCCTCGTATCGCATGATGTAAACAGCCTTCGTCGCCAGGTATATAACGGTTTCATACGATGATGCGCCTCTTACACAAGGCCCGACGTGGCCGACGCAACGTGAATACGAAGTGTAATAAAAGTGCGGTCCATTACGACTTCGTTCACGAGAGGCACGAATATCCCAATTCGCTTGCAGAAGTGTTATGATGTACGAAGGTACAACACCTCCGGGCGATTTTCAAATGACCCTCTCGATATGTGCAAGTCGGTGCACGTACTCTCGCTCGTGGGCAGGCGGCTTCCATTCCGAAGGGCGAGAAAAAAAAATGAAAGGGAGAAGGCGGCGCGCGTGTGTGGAGCCGCGCGCTGGACCGAGTAGCAGCAACATCATTCGGGGGAGCGCGAGTAGGACCGTCGTCCTTTCGAAGCGGCAGCTGAGAAAGCCGAGAGAGAGCACGGGGAAGCGAAGCGAGATGAGACAATGGAGGCGACGTGAGGAATGCCTGGAATAATTGCGCTTCGTTTGATGCTCGTTTAATTTGCCGAGGGACGTTTGGAGAACGGGAAAGCGCGCTATGTCGCTGTAATACACAACGGAGTGCCGCCTAGGAAAGAGCCGGCGAATAATGCCACTTCCTGATAATTAACCGTGAGGGAAGTTGAGGGCGCGTTAAATCGCACGGAGTGCAACAAGTTGGCACGAGGCAAAATAAGGGAAATTAAGTTCCAAACATGGGGAGAGAGAGAGAGAGAGAGAGAGAGAGTGTCGGGGGAGTCGCGTGGCAGGAGGAGACATCGTTGCCGCGTAATGAACAGTTATCAGATGCTGTCGAAAGTACAATTTCACCGCGCGACATGAGGCATACGTTTATTTAATAACTCCCGAGGCTCGATAAGTGAGAAGGAAAAGTAGAGTGTGTTGAAACGCTCGAAGGAATGTAAGAAGTTGGCACGAGAGCAGCAGGACGAGGGAGATCGACGCCGGGAGATAGGGGCGGGGGAGGGGGGAGGGTGGAGGATAAAAACGGGAGCGTGCAGGAGGACGGTAACGAGAGAAGGTGAGAGAAAAACCGAGGAGGCCGGACGGCGGAGGGCGGAAAGAGAGCGACCGCGGCTCGTAAGGGCGGAAGACGGAGAGAGAGAGAGAGAGAGGGAGAGAGGAGTGGGAGAGGCAGAAAGAGGCACGCGTAATTGGCAGGCGAGGGAGAAGCTCGGAAGGTGAGCACCTGCCTCGTACGAGGAGCGGAGAAGAGTCCCGGCGGCGGTCCACCGCCTCGCAGCTGCCGCAGATGTTTCCCCGTGGACCAAAAAAGATCGCGCGGAAAAAGGAACGCGCGAGGCGGCGAGCCGCGCCGTGACGGGCGCAGAAGAGGACGAGGATAATGAATACCTACGCATGCACACACCGAGGTGGGACAAGTTTCACGGCATCGGGATCGGGCGGACCGGCCCGTCTGAAGGAGGACACGCCGCGGAGAACGTTTGGAGAACGTCGGCGCCGCGCCGCCGCGCCGCCGCGCCGCTTGCCGAGGCAGATGTTCCCGCCGTTTGCGGAGATCATTGTCCGTTCTTCTCCTCTCCGTCCCGCCGCGCGGCTCCTTTCTTCGCCGCCGAGCGATGAGCGATGTGCTTCGCCAAATTTGGCTTTAACTTTGTGTCGCGTGTCCGGGCTCGGCGCCTGGTTTTCGCCCATAGATGAGATATCTGACTTTAAATTCTTACTTCAACAGCTTAGAGCTGTAGTCGAAATTCAGATCGAACTGCGTTAGATTCGTTGCGCGTTAGCTCTCATTGGTCTTTAGAAAGATATAAGAATTCTAGATGTACACGCACCGGCATAAATGCTGTCCCTATCCTTGTGAGGTGCACGCACACAACTAGAGTTCCTGTAGTTGTGTGCGTGCACCTCACAAGGATAGGGACAG